TGATGAGATATCCCCCCCCCCCAAGAAAATGTATACTCTTGGAGGACATGAAATTATATCCGACATTTGTCCTAAAAGGGAGCAGCCGTGGTCCAGTAGCTAGACTCTTGAACGTTTCTCCGAAGGTCTTGGATCGATTATGATCCAAATCGGATTTCAAAATAATTATAAAGAATGCCAGGTCATATCGAGAAAGGTAATGGAGGCCGGCAGGGTGTTTATCACAACACTCGTAATCTGCCACTATTAAAATATGAGATTAGCATCATATGCATCAGACCAAGGCCTGATGCGCCATTTGCTTGAGAAAAGGCCATTTACTGTTTGTGTGAACATTTAAAAAGCAGAAGAATAAATAAACATTCAAATTTTATCAAAAAGAGAAAAAAAAATATAGGCCAAAGTTGAACACTGACATAATCATCATCATAATCATCATCATCATCAAGTGCATTGCTGACTCTCGTGGGCGATCATGCCTTTCCACAATGTATTAGTTCGTGTATAGATATCACCTCCACGTCATGACAAAAGACTGTCAAAAATCTTCTGCGCTGTCTTCCACTGTCTCTCTTTCCCCAGATTTCGAGTGGTCAGAATATGTTTCATTTTCATTCTTCTCATAATATGAGCAAAAAAATTATGACTGTCTCTTTCTGATGTTTGTGATAAGCTGTCTTCGAGCACTCGCCTCTTTCTAAACATCTGGGTTGCTTTTCTTAGCTATCTAAGGAATTCTAAGGACTCTTCTGTCAAACCACATCTCCCCGGCCTCAAGATATTGTTCGGCTTGTTTATTGTTTGTCCAGGATTCACAGCCGTATTTGAAAACTGGCTTTATATAGCTTGCGAGAATTCTTTTCCTAGCCTCCAAAAATATAGATTTATTACACAAAATGTTCTTCATGTTATAATAGGGACTTTTAGGCCTGTCCTATTATGTTCTTTGTCTCTGTGATACATCTTCCAATCGGATGTTACCCATGTGCCTAGATGCTTAAATTTATGTTCTTGTTCATAAATAACACCTTTTACTTTTATTATACATGTAGGCACTATTGATTTTCTTGGAAATCACCATTATCTCCGTCTTCCCATTATTCGAACTGAAGCCCATTTTATCACTTTCTACCAACACCATATCTATCAACTCCTGAATTTCGTTTTGACGTGTTGCTATCAAGACCGTGTTATCAGCTTAACACAGGTTGTTGATGATATGACCAAACCACAATTCCGGCCATTTTCATAAGGATCTCATTATATATTCACTGCATAATGAAAAAAAAATCAGGTGATAGTACACAACCTTGTCGTACTCCGCTCTGTACGCTCTGAAATGTCCCCACAAAGTTTTTAATTCTTATAGCTACTGTTTGCAGCCAATACATGTTCTTTATAATTCGTAAATCTTTTCCATTAGTGTTTAACTTTTCCAGAAGTTTGATTAGTTCTTTATGTTTCACGCAATCAAATGCTTGCGTATAGTCAATGAAACATAAGTCAAGATCGATTTTTTTTTTTTTGGTTACTTCTATAGCTGCTACTGAAAAGAGTTCTGAGGATGTATAAGGTATTGTTTGTACCTCTTCCTTCTACAAATCCACACTGTTCTTCACCAATTTCTAGTTTAATCTTGTTACTTATTCTTTTCTTAATTATTCAACACTGGCAAGAGATGCATTTAAAAAAAAAAATAGAAACGAGGTAACTGATGGCCGTGGAAACCATTCCCTCGGTTTCTTTCGAGTCTTTGAAGGAATCGATGAAGAAAGACAGAGGCTGAATCAAAGTTGAAAAGCCGCAGTCTAAATAAAGTCAAGGACCTTCTCCCACTCCTAAAGGCATGTTGGGCATATAGGGCTAGACCTATATGTTATAAACAAATGGGCAGTCTGTGGCTGATATGGTCAACATCCTGCTGACCCTTTACTTGCCAGGACTTCACCTAGAACCCACTCAAGGTTTGGTCGACCTGGGAAACAAGGCTATTTTTAAAGGGGACAAGTCTGATACTGTTCGGACTGGAACCGTTCGGATTTGTAGGCGATCCTCCAGACGTTTTACCGCGTCGATGTCCTCGCGTGGTGAAAACAATCTTTAATTTCCTAGAGGACTGAGTGACGTTCAAACACTCCAGGACCGCACTACAAGCGATTACCCAGTGACACAAGGTGCCACCATGCGAATGAGAATCACCCATTTGCAAGTCACATAAACCCCCTTCACCCGTTTTTTTGCATCAGGGCGACATGAGCCGGAGTGGGGATTTCAAATTAACAAAGAATTTCGCCCCATACTGGGGCAGAATTAATAAACAATTTTCTAATAAGTAAGTGTCTTTGATCCCACCGGGACATCAGGGATAAACACCCGGCGATTCAAATTGCCTACATCCGAGTGAGGATCGCCTGTGAAGTCGCGGAAACCTCGTTCAACCGTTAGGTTATATGTGCCCCCGGGTGGGGGGGGGGGGGGGCTTTAATAAATAACGAAAAATTTAATTCCACATGGGGATGACCATGGACTGACACAATTTCCTAGATATATTTTAACTCCTTTTACGACAACCCCAGAGCTGATTCCGGCTGACAAATGTCTTTGATATCCTGATTTGAATTAAAAGTAAAATAGCAAACATTTAACTTGAAAAAAAAATTGGCAATGAATAATATAATAGTAGCAGCAACGATATAACAGAAACGCAAAAGGAGTATTAAATCAAGGGGAAAAAAATAAAAACAAAATAATAACGAAAACCAATACAATAATACAGTGAATATAATCTTTCCTTGAAACTAGCCAGAGATTTATTGGTACCTAACTGAAAGCTTAAACTGCCTGAACAATTCAGTGAATGTAATCTGTACTTGAAACTAGCCAGTGATTTATTGGTACCTAATTAAAAGCTATAACTACCTGAATAATTCAGCGAATGTAATCTCCCACTTTGAAACTAGCCAGTGTTTTATTGGTACCTAATTGAAAGCTATAACTACCTGAATAATTCAAATGCATTACTACCCTGAAGGACACACGAACTAAGGAAATGACATTTTACAGCTTCCTTCTTCATCTTTTTTTCGTTTTTTGTCCTCCTCCTCCTCTTCCCTCTCCTCCTCCTCCTACTTCTTTTTCTTCTTCTACTTCTTCTTCTTTTTCTTCTTTCTTTCTTTCTTTCTTTTCTTTCTTTTCTTTCTTCTTTCTTTTCTTTTCTTTTTTTTCTTTCTTTCTTTTCTTTCTTTCTTTCTTATTTCTTTCTTTCTTTCTTTCTTTCTTTCTTTCTTTCTTTCTTTCTTTCTTTCTTTCTTTCTTTCTTTCTTTCTTTCTTTCTTTCTTACATCTTTCTTTCTTTCTTTCTTTTTCTTCTTTCTTTCTTTTCTTCTTCTTCTTCTTCTTCTCTCTTCTTCTTCTTCTTCTTCTTCTTCTTCTTTCTTCTTCTTTTGTTGTTGTTCTTCTTTCTTCTTCTTTATCATCTTCATCTCATCTCTTCTTCTTCTTCTTCTTCTTCTTCTTCTTCTTCTTCTTCTTCTTCTTCTTCTTCTTCTTCTTCTTTCTTCTTCTTCTTCTTCTTCTTCTCTTCTTCTCTTCTTCTTCTTCTTTCTTCTTCTTCTTCTTCTTCTTCTTCTTCTCTTCTTCTTCTTCTTCTTCTTCTTCTTCTTCTTCTTCTCTTCTTCTTCTGCTTCTTTCTTCTTCTTCTTCTTCTTCTTCTTCTCTTCTTTCTTCTTCTTCTTCTTCTTCTTCTTCTCTTCTTCTTCTTCTTCTTCTTCTTCTTCTTCTTCTTCTTCTTCTTCTTCTGCTCCTTCTTCTTCTTCTTCTTGTCCTAGTCGTGTGGCTTTGGTATTTATATTTGTCCACAGTTTTCTGTCTCGTGTACTTTCAGTCATTTCTGACACATATATTTCTCAACATCTAATCAAGTCATCTCCTTGTGAGATGCAATTTTTCGTTATTTAAAGTCCTACTCTGGCTATTGCCAGGGGCCGTAATATAGCACAACCATAAATATGGTCTAATGGCTGAAACGCGGTTTCTGGGACCTCTCCACGGGTGATCCTCATCCACATGGTGGCACTGTGTGTCATCGGGTGTTTATCGCTTGTGTGATGTCCTGGTGGGGTATACATCTACTGCTATTCTCAACGTCATTATGCCAGTATATCCAAAAGCTTCTCTCTCGATCTCCTACTGTCGTTCTTCCCCTCGTTTTCACGATGTAACGCCTACTGCCGCCTTCCTCTTTCGCTGTGTGACCATATAAGGTTGACAGTCTCCTTCTCATGTGGGTAATCGGTTTTCTTCAATAAAAGTGTTGCTTTAAAGGTATTGACTGACTGACTTTCTACCCCACTAGGACATCACACAAGCGATAAACACCCAATGACACAAAGTGCCACCATGCGGATGAGGATCGCCGTGGAGAGGTCCCAGAAACCGCGTTCAGACATTTGGCCATATTTATGGCCTGCCTATATTGCGGCCCCCAGCAAAAGCCAGGGTGGAGCTTCAAATAAAAAATTTCATCCTGAAAAGGACAATAGAGATAAAGGTATTGACTGACTGACTGACTTTCTACCCCACCAGGACATCACACAAGCGATAAACACCCGATGACACAAAGTGCCACCATGTGGATGAGGATCACCGTGGAGAGGTCCCAGAAACCGCGTTCAGACATTTGGCCATTTTTATGGCCTGCCTATATTGCGGCCCCTGGCAAAAGCCAGAGTAGGGCTTCAAATGACAAAAAATTTCGTCCTGAAAAGGACGAAACTGGATTATACATATAAAGGTATTGAAATAGGTAAAGCATACAGAAGCATAGTTTTGAAAACCTGCACAACATAAAACAAATGGCACTTCCGCAGACTAGGCCACAAATATCTCACTGAACGAAAAATACAATAAAACATATTACATGAAAAATAGTCACAACAAAGGAAGTAAAACTTTAACCGAAACAAATGCCAAATAAAATATATAGTTTTCAGAAAGTAATTCTAATCATTGCAGTTTACACAATTACATCCGGTTATTTCCCTTATTGTTACAGCCTGTTGAAAATTAGGAATCTCCTGCCCACCGCTGACACACGTCATGAGGACATCTCTGGTTATTGTAGCATTCTCTTTACAGCATCTACAGACCTAAACAGGGGAAAACACAAAACAGATAGGGTTATGGAAAAAACGAATTGTAACTTTTTATGTAGAGTAGACCCACTGTCCCATAATAAGCATGTCGTAAAAGGCGACTAATTAAGGGTTTTTTTTTTTTCGAAGTTGGAGTGAATCACCCTTAGAGGCTAGGAATTAAGAGCCTGCATACAAATAGGACGGATCAGTAAAATGAATGAAAAACTCAAGTTCTAGAAAAAGATCAAAGTCCAGAAGTGGACGTACAACCAGAACGTTAAAAGCAAAGAAGAATGTGTTAAGGACTATAGTGAGAAAATCCTGATGTAGTGCATGGAAGCAAGGACGGTCTGCAGATGTTTATGTGGGAGCAGCAGAGATGTGGATCAACAGAAGAATTATAAGAACACTACGGGAACCAGGTAGGAATACAGTGAGACTAAACTATATATGAGATCTTCTACTGCAGAATATCAGGCCGACGAGGGAGAGGCAGACCAAGAAAGATATGGATAGACGGTGTAGTTGAATTGTGCAAAAAAATAAACAAATCCTCACACAAATTGCACCCATGAACTGAACGACGGGGCCATGAAACGAACCCATGACTTTCAGAGCAGGGGAGAAAAGGCTCAAAGACATCGCCACAGAGCAGACCCGTCAGGTATAAAGCCAAGTAAAGAACCCCTCTCCATGCCTTTAACCGTACTGAATCCATAGGGCTAAACCTTTATTTTATAGACCAATCGGCACTTGGTGAGCGATGTGGTCAGCATCACGCCGGCCGCCATTACTTCCCAGGACTGTTAAATTGGTATCTATTTAGGGCTGGGTCGACCTTGGAGCCCAAAGTCATGTTTGGGAAAAAGCACAGCATTGTCCGGATTTGAACTCACGACTTTTGAATCCGCAGACGAGCGTCAAGCCGCAACACGACGGAGCAGAAACCAGTAGGATGTCCAAGGTAATTATAATAAGGACCTTAGCTTATTGAATTAATATATTATTATATATTGCTTTATTATTATTATCTATTATTATGACATTATCAAAAGGTCACAGCAAAGAAAAGAAATATTCTGTTACTAGATCACAATAAAGCACAGAAAACGAAGACTGACTCTGCCTGTCTGCCTGCCTATCTGTCTGTCTGTCGTTTGTTTGCATGTCTGTCTGTCTGTCTGTCTGTCTGTCTGTCTGTCTGTCTGTCTGTCTGTCTGTCTGTCTGTCTGTCTGTCTGTCTGTCTGTCTGTCTGTCTGTCTGTCTGTCTGTCTGTCTGTCTGTCTGTCTGTCTGTCTGTCTGTCTGTCTGTCTGTCTGTCTGTCTGTCTGTCTGTCTGTCTGTCTGTCTGTCTGTCTGTCTGTCTGTCTGTCTGTCTGTCTGTCTGTCTGTCTGTCAGTCTGTCAGTCTGTCTGTCTGTCTGTCTTGAATCGAGTCAACTCCCATTTATAATTATTGTAAATTTGGTAATTACAAGGAAAGCTGACCTCGCAAAGTGCAACATCAAAGTGAATGTGACAAACCTCAAGCAAGTTGATATGTTAAAGTACTGGGTACCCTGATAACATCAGATGCAAGATGTATTAAAGAAGTTAAATGTAGAATAGCTCTACAAAAGGCAGCATTTCATAAAATTAAGAATATTTTATGCAATCTTTGTTTGTTAATGGAGACGAGAAAGAGCATTCTTGAAAGCTATATAAATCCTATCTTGATACACTGAAGTAAATCATGGACAGTTGGTAAATTAGAGAAAAATTTTTTAGAACCTGCGGAGATGTGTTATCATAGATGAATGACGATAATACCCGGTACAGATAAAAAGAGTAATGATGACTTCTTGAAAGAAACCGACTCACGAATAGAACTGATTGCCCACATCAAAAAGAGGCAATCTACTTTCTTTGGTCATGTGATGAGAAGAAGAAAACTGAAGTACACTGTGACAGTCGGAACGTTTGAGGGGAAGAGAGGCAGGGGGGAGATCGAAAGAGAAGTAGCTGGACATTCTGAAATCATGGCATGCAGAATCATCTGTGTAGAGTTGACTCAAAGTACACTAACAGGAAGTCGTGGATAGACATGACTACCAACGACACACGGCATGGATTGTAAGAGGAAGAAAAAAAAAGAATTTAGTTGTGTATGCTAACTCGTATGTATAATTCTTTAACAACAACTGATTGACATACTCGCCCGAATCCATTATGTGTTTGGACACTTGGGTAAACGTAGGAGCGACAGACTCCTTCACACTTCTTCATATACATCATCCTAGAACATAAAGCGTTCACGTTGCCGCTAGCAAGGGCTACCACCATTTGTTTGGAGATGGGGACTCTACTTTGCTGGAAAGAGTTGGATAAAGCAAGTTAGTTCCGACATTAATTATGATTCATGTGTGTGAAATGTAGCATAGATGCGTAAAGATATGGCTGAAATATATTAGTTCCAACATCAGTTTTGATTCGTATGTTGTAACAGTGTCATAGACGAGTAAACCTAAAGACCTTTGTCATGCCATTACCTCACCAGGCTTTATGTTACTTGATCAGTGGCCTCTAACCTTTTATAGATGATGCCACCCCTTAGTATATAACAAGACCCCACGCCACCCTTGAGTATATGGCAAGACCCCACGACACCCTTGAGTATATGACAAGACCCCACGACACCTTTGAGTATATGACAGGACCCCACCACACCCTTGAGTATATGACAAGACCTTACGCCACCCTTGAGTACATGGTAAGACCCCAGGATTTATGTTACTTGATCAGTGGCCTCTAACCTTTTATAGATGATGCCACCCCTTAGTATATGACAAGACCTCACGCCACCCTTGAGTACATGGTAAGACCCCACGACACCCTTGAGTATATGACAAGACCCCACGATGACAAGACCCCAAGACCCTTGAGTATATGACAACTGAGTATAGGACCCCACGACACCCTTGAGTATATGACAAGACCCCACGACACCCTTGAGTATATGACAAGACCCCACGACACCCTTGAGTATATGACAAGATCCCACGACACACTTGAGTATATGACAAGACCCCACGACACCCTTGAGTATATGACAGGACCTCACAAGACTCCCCGACGACACCCTTGAGTATATGACCAAGGACCCCATAGACCTTGAGATATCCACACAGACACACCCTTGAGTATATGATAAAATCCGACGACACCCTTGAGTATATGACAAGACCCCACGACACCCTTGAGTATATGACAAGACCCCACGACACCCTTGAGTATATGACAAGACCCCACGACACCCTTGAGTATATGACAAGACCCCACGACACACTTGAGTATATGACAAGACCCCACGCACACCCTTGAGTATATGACAAGACCCCACGACACCCTTGAGTATATGACAAGACCCCACGACACCCTTGAGTATATGACAAGACACCAACACCCTTGAGTATATGACAAGACCCCACGCCACCCTTGAGTATATGATAAAATCCGACGACACACCTGAGTATATGACAAGACCCACTGAGTATATTGACAAGACCAACACCCTTGAGTATATGGACAAGACCACCCTTGAGTATATGGACACGCCACCCTTGAGTATATGACAAGACCCAACGACACCCTTGAGTATATGACAGGACCTCCACAGGGACACCCTTGAGTATATGATAAAAGACGACACCCACGACACCCTTGAGTATATGACAAGACCCCCGACACCCTTGAGTATATGACAAGACCCCACGACACCCTTGAGTATATGACAAGACCCAACGACATCCTTGAGTATATGACAGGACTCCAGGACACCCTTGAGTATATGACAAGACCCCACGACACCCTTGAGTATATGACAAGACCCCACGACGTCCCAACCAAAGAAAAAGAAAATTTGACTTTAAAAAGAGGAATGTGTTCTTAATCTATAATTAAATGCATGTGTTATGATAGTAAACAGATTTTGTTTTAAATAATAGATAGACTGCCTGTGAAAACATAAACATCGTCACCTTTATGTTTGATAGATAGTTGAAAACAATTTTTTTTTTTTTAATTTCGACTGAAAAAAAAAAGTTAGTAGGACAGATTACAAGTATAAAGTACTGATTGTTAAAGACTGCTTGACGCCACCGTTGGAACTTGCTTACGTTCCTCACGGGCGCCCCCGCCACCCCCCTCCCCCCATTTTGTTTCCTCTGTTCTAAAGCTATATTTGTAATTCAGCGGCACTCTATGGTTGATGATTATGGGACACTTCCTTGTATCAATCTAAGCCTGGGTTATCTTTTAGTCTTCTTCTTCTTCTTCTTCTTCTTCTTCTTCTTCTTCTTCTTCTTCTTCTTCTTCTTCTTCTTCTTCTTCTTCTTCTTCTTCTTCTTCTTATTTTCTTGTCTTCTTCCACCTTGTACCTCATCGAAGTGTCAGGGTGAGATGTAATGTTCGTTGATGAGCTCTGTCAAGAGCACTATTAAGACTGATGTTCATTTCTGTAAGGCTGTTCTTAATGCCATCACTCCATGTTTTCCGAGGTCTTCCACTCGCTCTATACCCGTTGTAACGTTATAGTGTGGCCCGTTGTGACAGATAGTACCAGGGCATTCTTGTTAGGTGTCCAAACCACTTCATTTGTTGTTCTTTCATGACCTGTAAGACCCCACGACACCCTTGAGTATATGACAAGACCCCACGACTTCATTCCTAGCATACTATTAGTGTGATATTAAAAGTAAAGGACCCTTTTCTCACGCCTTTAGGCTACTGGATATATAGCGCTAGACCTATATTTCAAAGCTTATTCGACATTTTGATTGGTGATGTGGTCAGCATTCTACCGGTCGCCTTTACATTCCAAGACTGCTCCTGATACCCACTCAATGTTCGGTCGTTATTTTTTTAAGAAACAAAAAAATTTAGTCTCTGCCAGGACCTGAACACACGACATTCCGATCCGCAGGCGAGCGTCCAGCCGCTACTACACTGTGCTGTTGGTTAATTGTAAAAAAAAAAAAAAAACACGTCTTCAGCACAGGACTTTCTGGCGTGCAGGCGAGTATCTAGCTATTCCAGCAGAGTGGATAGCATACAGGATTACATGTGGCGAAGGTTCTCGAAATAATTTGGCTAACGACACCAGTTCTGTGTTGGTTTATTATTCTTCTTTGGCTACCCAAGTAGTGTTTTTGTTTTACCCTTCTAATGCCTCTGGCCTTTAACCAATCTAAGCCTAACTTACACCCCTTCCCATACCCCCAGCAAACCCCCATTGTTTAAAAAAGAATAAAAGTAAAAGATACCGTAAAGCTTTTAGGTTCTTTGATGTATCTTTAGAATGCTTAAGGAGACAGATACAAAATAAATTGGATGAAATTAAGAAATACAAGGAAATAAGAGAAATTTCCCGACAAACACCTATATCAACAGTGATAAGAACTGGTTAACGGATCAACATCATGGCACAAGGGTAGCAATCCATAAGCGCTCCGTTCTACTTCTATATCAAGCCTGAGTGCAAAGAATCTCAGCGCAGTGCATGAACACCGTAGCTCTGGCGAGGATCTTGAAATACTTTGGGTACATTTCCAACTACAAATTGATTTTTTTAACGTGCACAACAATACACACAGGGGTCCGATCTTACTACCCAGAGATCAGGGGACATTTCTAAAAATCCACGTGAAACATCTCAGCCTTCACCGGGGCCTGAATCCGGGACGTCCAGCACTCAAGGCAGAGCTCTACTTCGATATAAAGATGTGGGCAAGAGGGACATGAATGATATAGGTATTAAGGGAGACTCGTGGGAATATAATGCCATGGACCGTGTTGTGTGGAGGGGTCACATGAGGAAAGGAATAAGAACAGAGGAAGAAATGATTGCAGAAAGGATGAAAGCTGAGCGTCTAAGAAGAAACAGACTAAACGCAAATGTTAACATCAATGGTACTGAAATCCCACGCTATAATTGTTGAAGACTTTTCTTCACGCGGGCGGGTCTTGCTAGTCACACTCGCCATCCCCATGGGCTGTGAGTCTTATGACTCCACATAGCGCAATATAAAACTATCGTCTGGAAAGATGGCAGGTCATCTTTTTAAAACATTTTTTTATCAGCACTACTGTAAAAGACACTTTGTGGTGCGAACCGTCATCTTTTATTAGAATCTTTGTGGTGAGTACCGGCACCTTTTAGTAAAGACTTTGTGGTGCGAACCGGCACCTTTTATTAGAGACCTTGCTGTGCGTACCGTCATCTTTTATTAGAGACCTTGTGGTGAGTACCGGCACTTTTTTTTAGAGACCTTGCTATGCGTACCGTCATCTTTTATTAGAGACCTTGTGGTGAGTACCGGCACCTTTTTTTAGAGTCTTTGTGGTGCGAACCGTCATCTTTTATTAGAGACCTTGTGGTGGGTACCGAGACCATTTATCAGAGACCTTGCTGTGCGAACCGTCACCTTTTATTAGAGACCTTGATGTGAGTACCGTCACCTTTTATTAGAAACTTTGCTGTGAGTACAGTCATGTTTTATTAGAGACCTTGGTGTGAGTACCGTCACATTTTATTAGAAACTTTGCTGTGAGTACAGTCACGTTTTATTAGAGACCTTGATGTGAGTACAGTCATCTTTTATTAGAGACCTTGTGGTGAGTACCGGCACCCTTTTTTAGAGTCTTTGTGGTGCGAACCGTCACTTTTTATTAGAGACCTTGTGGTGGGTACCGAGACCATTTATCAGAGACCTTGCTGTGCGAACCGTCACCTTTTATTAGAGACCTTGATGTGAGTACCGTCACCTTTTATTAGAAACTTTGCTGTGAGTACAGTCACGTTTTATTAGAGACCATGATGTGAGTACCGTCACCTTTTATTAGAAACTTTGCTGTGAGTACAGTCACGTTTTATTAGAGACCTTGATGTGAGTACAGTCATCTTTTATTAGAGACCTTTTGGTGCCTACCGTCATCTTTTATTAGGGACCTTGTGGTGCCTACCGTCATCTTTTATTAGAGACATTGTGGTGAGTACCGGCACCCTTTTTTAGAGTCTTTGTGGTGCGAACCGTCACCTTTTATTGGAGACCTTGATGTGAGTACCGTCATCTTTTATTAGAGACCTTGCTGTGCGTACCGACACCTTTTATTAGAGACTTTGTAGGAGTACCGGGACTTTTTATTATAGACCTTGCTGTGCGTACTGTCATCTTTCATTAGAGACTTGTGGTGAGTACCGGCCCCTTTTATTAGAGACCTTGTGGTGTGTATGGTCAACTTTTATTAGAGACCTTGTGGTAAGTACCGCACCTTATACTAGAGAA